GAGGAGACCCCAGCTCAGCTCAGAGCACCAAGGTGCCTCTGTCCCGCGCTGCCCGGCCCCCAGAGGCTCCAGCAGGGGCAGAGCTGGAGCCAGACCCCGCTCAGCCCTGCCTTGTGCCGCTGCCAGCAAGGACACCCAGGCCTGGCAAAGGCCAGAGCTTGGGCTTGGCAGTGCCAGCCCCTGGGAAGGGCTCAAGGACAGCACAAGGTCACACGCCACAGCCGTCGGTCCCTGCGGGGACACAAAGCTGTTGTTAAAACAACATTTGAACAATCCAAGCAATCTAATCCCGTTCTTTATCTGCCCTTGCAGCTCCAGGAGGTGGCACAGCCCCACGGCAGTGACCCCTGCAGCTGGAGTGCCCAGGCCCATTGTGCTGGTGTCAGATTTGGTGACAGTGCCCCGTGCCAGGTTTCGTAATGTTTGTCCGTGGCTGTGGATCCCACGCTGGCAGCAGAGAGGAGCAGGGTATAAAAGCGGGCGAGAGCCCGAGCACATCAGTCTGGTCCAAGATGGCCAAGCTCACTCTGCTCGCCGGTGAGTGCTGCTGCGCCGCGGCTCGGAGCCTCCCGAGCAGGGCTGCAGGCTCCGGCACTGCCGCTCTGCTGCCTGCCCGGGGGCTGGAGGGATAAAAGCGCTGCTCTCTCTTTTCTCTCAGAGGTTTCTCAATTTCCTTTGGGGAGGGAAATTTCTCTTCTTTAGCGCTGCTGTGGTCGGGGATCTGCTGTGCTTTGAGCACGGGCAGAGTTCATTGCAGGCTGCAACTGAAATGTGCTTTTGGACTTAAACCTAAAAGCAAATGATTCCTTTGGCATCTGTTTGGGTTCTTCTCTGTGCTTTGACACGAAATCACTGGAGAAACGAAATGCTTGGAGAAATTGTAGCGCAATTGTCTGGTGCCTGAGCTTGGGAGCAGAGCTTGCTGAGGAGGTTTGCATTAGCGAGAGCGAGCAGTGACCCTGTGTTGTTTCCTTGTGCCCTGCAGGCCTGGCCCTGCTGCTGAACGCCCAGCTCGGTAGGTGCAGCTCGCCCGGGGCAGCTCCCGCAGGAGCCGCCGCTGCCCCCGCAGGAGCCTGGAACGCAGTCTGGAATTCAAGAATTCGAGCAGGAGAAGGTTTATTTTAACGTTCCTGGGGTTCCATCCCTGCCATGCCTCCCTAGGAGGTTCATGGGAGCCTCAAGCGGGAGGAGGGCAGAGCACAGTCTGGAATTTAGGCAGGAAAACCTCTGGGGGCCGGGCAGCGCGGGACAGAGGCACCTTGGTGCTCTGAGCTGAGCCGGGGTCTCCTCGGGGAAGCAGACACGAGGAGTCCCATCACTAAAGAAAAAAACACCTCGCTTTTTACTGAGTCATTCTCCACCTGATAAAGAAAAATTCTTCTGTAAGAAGCATTGTTTTTGTCATCTTCCTTCCCTAATCTCCTGACACCCATGGTCACAAGGAGAAGTGGGAGGACAACGCAGCAGAAGCTGATTCTGATTCACTTTGTTTCCATTAACCCCTGTGCCACCCCTCTGTTGTGGCAGTGCCAGTGTTGATGATCCCAGCAGCCATGGAATGGGAAGGATGAGAGTTTTGGAGGGAAGATGCAGCAGGAAAAGCCCAGAGTGGTAAAATCTCTCTGCAACCCAACACTGGGTTGGAAGGTCCCTGTCTGCTGTTTTTAACTGGAATTCTTTCAGCAAGGACCAATTCTTGTGCCCTTTGTTACCTCCCAGCACTCCCAGGGAACCCACAGCAAACCACCTTTCGATAGAACAGGAAAAGAGCAGGAAAAGTCCTAAAGGATAAATCCTGATGGAAAACTCCAGGATTCATTACCCCCACATGAAAACAAATCAGTGCCCTTGAGCCTGCCCCAAATGCTCTCATTTCCACACGCAAACACCTTCCCTGGATAACAGAGCTAAAAATGCTCCAGAGGTCACTGAGGGCAGGATTTTCCAGATCTATCCCGGCTGAATTTGTACCCTGGGACTTTATCAACCGAGAAAAACACTGGAAAATGACTCCTTGAGGATGTTGTCCTGTTATCAGCCATATCCCACCCCGTGCCTGCACCAAATCCCAAAGCTCAGGCTGGCAGGTTTTAATCTGCAGGGCAGCCAGCATCTGATACCAGGCTGTTTTCCAGGCTTCCAGTCATCCAAGGCTGGGTGACCTCCTGGAAAGTCACCTTCATGTCACCCCACAAGGAATTTAAACCTTCTAGTGCAGGGACACAGCCATGTCCCCACTCCTGAGTGGGGGAAAGGGAAGAAATCCCCAGTCTCCTCACACAGGGGGAGAGCTTGGAGTCCCCATCAGGACAAAAGATGGAAATAAAATGTGGAAAGGATATTTTGAGGCATTCAGCATATGGGGCTTCACTTAAGGAAAAATGGGAATGCTCAGCAACATGGGAGTGTCTCAGTTTGGGAAAGAGCTGAGCAGGAAGAGGAGGGGAGAAATGTGAGAGGAAAATTAACTGGCTTCATCTTCTGGTACGAGATCGCCGAGCTGGGCAAGTGAGTGACCAGCCTGGGGTCCCTGGTGGCGCTGGGGTGGGTTCCTGGCAGTGAAAGCCCCTGAGGGACCCCAAGTGCAGGGGCTGTGGGGGTGATGGGCAGCCCCAGCTGGGGTGCCTCAGGTGAGGACACAGCCCCGCTCCTGCAGGTACCTGGATTACATCCACGTCATGACCTACGACTTCCACGGACCCTGGGACGGCTCCACGGGCGAGAACAGCCCCCTGTTCGACAGCGGCAGCACCTTCAGCGTTGTGAGTGCCTTTGGGGCCTCTGGCCCGGGGCTGCCTGTCCCACGGCACAGCCTGAACCGCGCTGCCTTTTCCAGGAATACGCCATGAACTACTGGAAGAACAACGGCGCCCCAGCTCAGAAGCTGCTGGTGGGATTCCCAACCTATGGAAAGAGCTTCACCCTGCAGAGCCCATCCAACACCGCCATCGGCGCCCCCAGCTCCGGGCCCGGCCCCGCAGGACCCTACACCAGGGAGGCCGGGCTCCTGGCTTACTACGAGGTGTGTGAGGGCTCACCCTGACTGCCAGGGCAGCTGGACACTGCTGGCACTGCCAGGATAACCCAGACACTGCTGGCACTGCCAGGATAACCCAGACACTGCTGGCACTGCCAGGATAACCCAGACACTGCTGGCACTGCCAGGATAACCCAGACACTGCTGGCACTGCCAGGATAACCCAGACACTGCTGGCACTGCCAGGATAACCCAGACACTGCTGGCACTGCCAGGATAACCCAGACACTGCTGGCACTGCCAGGATAACCCAGACACTGCTGGCACTGCCAGGATAACCCAGACACTGCTGGCACTGCCAGGATAACCCAGACACTGCTGGCACTGCCAGGATAACCCAGACACTGCTGGCACTGCCAGGATAACCCAGACACTGCTGGCACTGCCAGGATAACCCAGACACTGCTGGCACTGCCAGGATAACCCAGACACTGCTGGCACTGCCAGGATAACCCAGACACTGCTGGCACTGCCAGGATAACCCAGACACTGCTGGCACTGCCAGGATAACCCAGACACTGCTGGCACTGCCAGGATAACCCAGACACTGCTGGCACTGCCAGGATAACCCAGACACTGCTGGCACTGCCAGGATAACCCAGACACTGCTGGCACTGCCAGGATAACCCAGACACTGCTGGCACTGCCAGGATAACCCAGACACTGCTGGCACTGCCAGGATAACCCAGACACTGCTGGCACTGCCAGGATAACCCAGACACTGCTGGCACTGCCAGGATAACCCAGACACTGCTGGCACTGCCAGGATAACCCAGACACTGCTGGCACTGCCAGGATCACCCAGACACTGCTGGCACTGCCGGGACAGCACAGACACTGCTGGCACTGCAGCGACAGCACAGACACTGCTGGCACTTCCCAGCACGGAGTTCCTAACCTGGCTCACATTCCCACTGCTCTTTCTCCCAGATCTGCACCTTCCTGAGCTCTGGAGCCACCCAGGCTTGGGATGCCCCCGAGGATGTCCCCTACGCCTACAAGGGCAGCGAGTGGGTCGGCTACGGCAACGTCAAGAGCTTTGGCCTCAAGGTCTGGGGCAGCGGGGCCGGGCTGGGATGGGACCAGAGCCTCCTGTGGGATCAGCTCCTGGGCTCAGCGGGATTTTCCTCCCCACAGGTGGACTGGCTGAAGAAGAACAACTTTGGAGGAGCCATGGTGTGGACCATCGACCTGGATGACTTCACTGGCACCTTCTGCCACCAAGGCAAATACCCCCTGATCTCCAGCCTGAAGAGGGGCCTGGGGCTGTGAACGTGCAGTGAGTGACAGGAGGGACACAGGCTGTGTGCCCCAAAGGGGTGCAAGGGGGGCATTGAAAACATCATCCCTTCCCCAATGTGTCTCTCACTCACTTCCAAAAAATTTATAGGGTTTATTAAAACCTTACCAAAAATATAACGCAAGACTGAATAGAGAAAATGTTAAAGGGTGTTTTCCCCAGCTTGTGCTCACCCACACAATGGAGGTTTTGCCTTTTAGCCCTTTAGCTCTTTCCAAAGTTCTGTCCATCAACTCCTTCTTTGCTGTCCAGTGGTGGAGATCACTTCCTTAAATCTTGATTGCAGGTCAGCTGTTGCCATAGTAACAATCCCACCCTCCCAAATGTCCCAAACCCGGGCCACCCCTGATAACAACACAAGAGAGGGGGGGTAAAACGTAACTATAAATTTATAAAACTTCTCCTAACAGATATACATGACATTTGCCTTTTAATTGTGAGAGTCAGCCATGGCATTCCTCATCCCTCACACCAAGGAAAATCCTGCTTTTTTCCAGGCTGCACAGCACAGTCCTCACGTCCCTGCAGCTGCCGGAGGTGCAGGTGGCAGTGGGAGTGCAGGAGGAGCTGCAGGGCCGGTGACACATCCTGATCCCGATCCCGATCCTGATCCAGCCCAGTGATCCCTCTGATCCCATTGCACACAATGATTCAATAAAGCTTTACTCAAAACCAACAACTTCCTGCTTCAGCTCGCCCTTTGTATTTTGTCGCTTCCTGATTCTCCCAGGATGTTCAGGTGAAAAACTCTCCTGTGAAAATGAAAAAGTTTAATCAAGGACAATAGGAGACAAGGACATTTTCATATTCACTCTCCTGTGAAAATTAAAAAGTTTAATCAAGGACAATAGGAGACAAGGACAAAGGTTATTGGGTCAGCCAAGAGCACCCTGTTATCCTCGGGGATACCCCTTAAATACCTTTTAAAAATTACCTTTTAATTACATCATCCTGTAGCATATCCGCAGACCCTTATGCATATGCATAAAGCGGTTTACATATTCAGGAGCTATTTTCATGGCCCCTCCCGTGTCTGCCTTTTTAGAGCAGGTGTGTGCCTGGGCTCCTTCTCGTTGTCACTCGGTCTGGCCTTGCTCCACACTGTGTGCAGACAGCAGATGCTGGGCAGGTCTGTGCAGGTGTCCTCGTCCTGTTCACTGGTGTTACCCCATCCAAGCGGGCATTTTAACACAAAATTCACTGTTCTCTACTTCACTACTATGTCTAAGCTTAATTAGCAACAGAAATAAAAACTGTATCTTTATCACAAAGTTACTTCAACATCACACATATAGAATAAATGTTAATATTTGCAAAAAGCCAATATTACTATATGTATCTATAACACATATCAGCCATTTCACTACTATGTACCGGCTTATTTAGCAACAGAAATAAAAACTATATTTTTATAACAAAGTTACTTTGACATCAAACATATAGAATCCATTTTAATATTTACAAAAAGCCAATATTATAGCATGTATCTATAACTCATATCAGCCATTTCACTACTATGACAGAAGTTAATTAACAACAGAAATAAAAACTGTATCTTTATCACAAAGTTACTTTAACATCACACATATAGAATAAATGTTAGTATTTGCAAAAAGCCAATATTACTATATGTATCTATAACACATAGCAGCCATTTTACTACTATGTACCGGCTTATTTAGCAACAGAAATATAAACTATATTTTTATAACAAAGTTGCTTTGACATCAAACATATAGAATCCATTTTAATATTTACAAAAAGCCAATATTATAGCATGTATCTATAACTCATATCAGCCATTTCACTACTATGACAGAAGTTAATTAACAACAGAAATAAAAACTGTATCTTTATCACAAAGTTACTTTAACATCACACATATAGAATAAATGTTAGTATTTGCAAAAAGCCAATATTACTATATGTATCTATACCACATATCAGCCATTTCACTACTATGACAGAAGTTAATTAACAACAGAAATAAAAACTATATTTTATAACAAAGTTACTTTGGCATCACCCATATAGAATCCATTTTAATATTTGCAAAAAGCCAATATTATAGCATGTATCTATAACACATATCAGCCACTTCACTACTATGTCTGAACTTAATTAACAACATAAATAAAAACTATATTTTATAACAAAGTTACTTTGGCATCACCCGTATAAAATGCATTTTAATATTTGCAAAAAGCCAGTATTATAGCCTGTGTCTCACACTTGTGCCCGGGCCAGGGCTTGCATTTCCTGCCAGCCGGGCATTTTTTGCTGCCCCACCCTGGCAGTGCCATGGGAACCGAGGCAGGAGCCGCTGTCCCACCGCCAGGGCTGTGACCTCACAAGGCCAGGCTGCTCCCGGAGCCAGCCCAGCGCATTCCAGAGGGAAATGCCCAACGCTGGGCTTCTCCCTGGCCCTGCTGCCACCCCCCTGCTCCGTGCCACCGCCCTGCAGCCGTGCCAGGCCGGGATGGCAGCGCGGCACGACGCCAAAGGTGAGCGCCGGCCGGGCACGGGGCACCCGGGGCTTCTTCTCCTTCACCCCCTGATGCCAGCAGCTTCTGCGGGATCTTCCCAGATCCCAATTCCCTGCTCAGGCTGGGGAAAATCAGCGCTGCCAGGAAAATTGGCGCGCAAACATCAGAGGTTTGTGTCCAAAGGGGAGACAGAGGGGTGCTTTGACTTTATTGCAATGAAGGGAGAGGCCGTGGGGCATTCCCTGGGGTCTCTCCAACTTTTGGAGGATGCAGCCTCCTTTTTATCCCAATTTCCCTCTCTCTTTCCCCATTTCTGAGGTACTTGAGATGTTCAGACTTCCCAAAACTTCTCTAATACCAGAGGTTTCCCTCTAATGTACAACCCTCCCTTTTCATTTTTAATTCTTGTGGAATTTAGGGTTTTCCCCCACTGTTTCTTTATTATTTCAACATCCAGTTTCATTTATCAGCAAACCTAAAGTTTATTTGTAAAGGCAAATCTCTTTTTTCCCCATTCATCAACCAGTGGAATCCTTCCCATCGTTTCTTTTATCTCCCAGTGCTGGTTTTATCTACCAGCAGACCCACAGCTTGTTTGGAGAGAAAAATCCCTCACTCCTCTCAGCCCCTCGTGGCTTTGAGCAGGCACAGGTGAAGGGCAGACCCCTCCCAAATATCCAGGGCAAGGACAAATCTGTGAGCAGGCAGAAGCAAGGGGCAGACCCCTCCCAAATATCCAGGGCAAAGACAAATCTGTCATTCCTTGGGAAAAATAAATCTGGAAAGACAAATCCCAGATTCCTCTCAGCCCCTCGTGGCTTTGAGCAGAGGGCAGAGCCCTCCCAAACACCCCAGGCCGGGGGGATGAAGGCAGAGAGCAGCCCGTGGTCACCCTTTTTTCTCTTTTCTCTCTTTTTTTCCCTGTCTGTCCCACCTCTGGCATTTCCCTGTGCCCACCCCCCAGCTGTGGCCAAGCCCATCTCCTTTGGGACGACTCAAGAACGGAAGATGTTCCCGTACCACTGTGCCCCAGACAGGCTGGGCATCGAGGGGCTGGGGGTGAGGGGCAGCCCCTCGCTGGGGCCAGGCTCCTACCTGGGGCCACAGGTGAGCTCTTCCTTCATTTCGGGGTCTGTTATGGGAGCAATGGGAGTTACAGGGCCACTCCTGCCCTGAAAACCCGCTGGGAGATGTCCCACATCCTCCTGGGAAAGGGAATTATCTCCTTTACTCCAGGCCGAATTTTGGGTGGGAATGCCGAATTGCCGCTGGGAGCGTGCGCTTTCGGGCCACGTTCCCGGTGATTCCCGCAGAGCGGCACTCCCGGCCCCGCCGCCTACGGGCCCTTCCCGGAGCGGCCGCGGCGCCCCCGGCCCGGCCCGGCCCCGGCCCCGTTCTGCTCCAGCAGCCCCCGCTTCCCCAGCCGCCTCCTGGACCGCGACCGCTACCCGGGGTAAGCGCAGTTCCGCCCTCGCTGAAAACCAAAAATCCTTTCATCCCCAAAATTCCTATTTTTATCTCCAAGAAGAAATTTTTAATGTGCCAAAAATAGCTTTGACGCGTCCAAAAAAGCAGTTTTTCTGTGTTCAAAAATGAGTTTTTAATGGCTAAAATGAAGTGTTTTGTCTCCAAAAATGTTTTATCTCCAAAAAGGTTTTTTTTATCTCCAAAAAGGTTTTTTTTTATCTCCAAAAAAAGAAGCTTTAGATGTCAAAAAATATTGGTTAACATTGGGACATTTTGGTTAACGCCGGGATGTGCTGGGTAATTTAAGTTCATACTGGATTTTTTTTTTGGTTAACATTAGGATATTTTGATTGGTATTGGGATCTTTTGGTTAATATGGGGTGATTTTGCATAATATTGGAATATTTAGGTTAATATTGGAATATTTAGGTTAATATTGGAATATTTAGGTTAATATTGGAATATTTACGTTAATATTCGAATTTTTTTGTTAACCTTGGGATATTTTGATTAATATTGGGACGTTTTGATCAGCACTCGAATTTTTTTGATTAACATTAGAATATTTAGGTTAATATTGGGATTTTTTGGCTGGCATTGGGACATTTTGGTTAACATTGGAACATTTTGGTCAACATTAGGATATTTTGGATAATACTGGGATATTTTGCTTAAAATTAGGATATTTTGATTAATAGTGGGATCTTTTGGTTAATATGGGGAGATTTTGGGTAATATTGGACATTTAAGGTTAATATTTTTGGGACATTTTGGTTAACATTGGGATATTTTCATGAACATTGGGATATTTTTGGATAATATTAAAATATTTAGATTAATATTGGAATATTTTGGTTAATATTGGGACATTTTGGTTAACACTGGGATATTTTGGTTAATATTGAAATTTTTGGCTTAACATTAAGATATTTTGGATAACACTGGGATATTTTAGATAATATTGGAATATTTTGGCTAATATTGGGACATTTGGGTCAACACTGGGATATTTTGGATAACACTGGGATATTTCAGATAACACTGGGATATTTTGGTTAATATTGGGATATTTTGGTGAACACTGGGATATTTTGGACAACACTGGGATATTTTAGATAATATTGGAATATTTTGGCTAATATTGGGACATTTTGGTCAACACTGGGATATTTTGGATAACACTGGGATATTTCAGATAATACTGGAATATTTTGGCTAATATTGGCACATTTCGGCTAACACCAAGACATTTTGCTTACTATTACAACACCCAAATTAACTCCGCAATCCTTTGAGTCAACATCAGAATATTCTAGAATATCTACAACACTGAGGGCACTGGAGATCCTCCGCCATTTCACCTCAACCAAAACCACCCCCGAGGCTGGGCCCGGACGCGTTTCACCGAATAAACAACAGCAATAACCAACCCCCGCTCGCTGCAGGCCTGGCGCCTACAACGTGCCGGAGTGGCTCGGCAGGAAGGCGGCGTGGCCCGGCGCCTTCGGCGCTCCCGCGCGCGGCGCGCTGCCGCAGCCGCAGCCCAGGATGGTGAAGATGCAGGTGCAGAAGGTGAGGAAGGCTCCGGGCTTTGCAGGCGGGAAATTCCCTTTTTTCCTTCGTAGTTTCACTTTTTTATTATCCCTTTTTGCCTCGGTGTTCTAAGACAGAAAATTCCCTTTTTTCACTTCCCGTTTTCACTGTTTTGTTTTCCTTTCCTGCTTTTGAGAGAGGAAATTTCCTTTTATCTTCATATTTTCCCTGTTTTGTTTTCTTTTCCTGCTTTTGAGACAGGAAATTTCCCTTTTTTCTTCATATTTTCACTGTTTTGTTATCCTTTTTTGCCTCAGTGTTCTGAGACAGAAAATTCCCTTTTTTCACTTCCCGTTTTCCCTGTTTTGTTTTCCTTTCCTGCTTATGAGAGAGAAAATTTCCTTTTTTCTTCATATTTTCACTGTTTTGTTATCCTTTTTTGCCTCAGTGTTCTGAGACAGAAAATTCTATTTTTTCACTTCCCGTTTTCCCTGTTTTGTTTTCCTTTCCTGCTTATGAGAGAGAAAATTTCCTTTTTTCTTCATATTTTCAGTATTTTATTTTCCTTTCCTGTGTCTGAGACAGGAAATTCCCTTTTTTCTTCATATTTTCACTGTTTTGTTATCCTTTTTTGCCTCAGTGTTCTGAGACAGAAAATTCTATTTTTTCACTTCCCGTTTTCCCTGTTTTTTTGTTCTTTCCTCCTTTTGAGAGAGGAAATTTTCCCTTTTTACTTCATATTTTCAGTATTTTTTTGTCCTTTCCTGCTTATGAAAGAGGAAATTTCCTTTATACTCCATATTTTCCCTATTTTATTTTCCTTTCCTGCTTCTGAGAGAGGAAATTTCCTTTTAAGTTCATATTTTCATGGGTTTTGTTATACTTTTTTGCCTCAGTGTCCTGAGACAGAAAATTCCCTTTTTTAGCTTCATATTTTCACTGTTTTGTTTTCTTTTCCTGCTCCTGAGACAGGAAATTCCCTTTTTTCTTCATATTTTCACTTTTTTATTATCCTTTTTTGCCTCAGTGTTCTGAGACAGAAAATTCCCTTTTTTCACTTCCCATTTTCACTGTTTTGTTGTCCTTTCCTGCTTCTGAGACAGGAAATTTCCTTTATACTCCATATTTTCCCTGTCTTATTTTCCTTTCCTGTGTCTGAGAGAGGAAATTTCCTTTTTTACTTCATATTTTCAGCTTTCCTGTGTCTGAGAGAGGAAATTTCCTTTTTTCTTCATATTGTCACTGTTTTATTTTCCTTTCCTGCTTTTGAGACAGGAATATTCCTTTTTACTCCATATTTCCACTATTTTATTGTTCTTTCCTGCTTCTGAGACAGAAAATTTCCTTTTTATTTCCCATTTCCTCCACCTTTTCTTATCCTTTCCTGCCTCAAACCTTCTGAGAGATAAAAACTTCCCTTTTCACTTCCCATTTCCCCTGTTTTATTCTTTTTTCCTCCTCCTGAGACAAAAAAATTCCCTTTTTTCCTTCACATTTCCACAATTTTTTGGCTTTTTTTTTGGCATTTTCCCCCGCCCAGGGCACAAAACACAAAGTGATTTTCTCTCAAACAACCCCTGCTGGCAAAACCCTCCCAAAAAACCCCTTTTCCCTCAGAATTTTTCTCCAATTTCCACCCCAAAAGGATCACAGTGGGGCCTCCACTGGCTCGGCTGGTGGAAAAATCTCATTTCAATCCCAATTTTCGGTCTCACCTCTTCACCTTCTGCCACGTTTTCATTGTTTTTAATGAAAATTTGGGGTTTTTTTAGATGACTGTGGATAAAAAATTCCAGAAGAACCAGGGCAGAGAGGCGTACCTGAAGCTGTACCACGGCTGAGCAGAAATATCTTTATTTGGGGGCCCTCACCCAGCAGCAGGATGAATAAATCAAAGATTTTAAAGGCTTTTTTAAGGTTTTAAATGGTTTTTAATGTTTTTCATTCGCTCAGCTCAGTCTTCACTTGGGGAGAAATCCAACTCCAGAATTGGTTTTCAAATAGTTGGAAGGTGTTTTAAAATATTTATTTAAATAAAATATTTATTTATTTAAATGAAATATTTAAAATATTTATTTAAAGCGTTTTAAAATATTTCAAATATTTCAAAATGTTTTCATGTCTTTTAAAAGTGTCAGAGATATTTTTTTAAAAAATATTTTAAGCTAATGGATTGAAATAAAATAATAATATCTAAAAATATAATATATAAATATTTTAAAATATATAAAATCAAAGTAAAAATTCAAATTGTAAACTTGCTTTTCCTTAGTTTAACACGTCTCTAAACTATAAATCTGTATTCTCATTTTTAGTACTTAAAGTTTTTTAAAGCCTCAAATTCAATCTTAAATTCTGAATTTTAGATTATAAACACATAATTTTATACACCCAAGAATTTTTATGTACCAAATAATTTTATGTACCAAATAATTTTATATTTTACAAATATTTTACGTACCAAATAATTTTATAAACCAAACAATTTTATACACCAAATAATTTTATAAACCAAATAATTTTATGTAACAAATAATTTTATATTTTACAAATATTTTACATACCAAATCATTTTATAAATCAAATAATTTTATACACCAAATAATTTTATAAACCAAATAATTTTCCAAGAATTCTCATTTCAAATTCTAACACTCAGAGAATTTTTTGGTTTTTTGCCCAAAATATCACCCTGAAAACCTCTGAGGGAAAGAGGCTGGGTTGGGGCAGGAGGATTTTTACATTTTGGCTCCTTCCCTGCCGAAATGAAAATATTCTTAATTTAAAAATAAAAATTTAAGAAGCCTGAAAGTGAGAATCACAAAAATAAACGTGGCCTGAAACAGAGAGCTCCTGCTGCTGGGGCAGCTGCTCTCCCCTCAAACCTTTCATTTCTGCATTTCCAAACCCAACTGCTAATTTAAATTCAATTAACGATTAATAATTTAATTAAAAATCATTTAATTAACAATTAAAATTTATCTCGTAAGAGATAAAATTCCTTTTACTATGAACATCATGAATTATGTTCCTTTATTAAATTAATATTTATGAAATTTTAATTTATTAATTTAAATTTTATCATTTTAATTTTTAAATTAATGAAGGAACATAATAATACTCAATACCTTTACTAAATATCTTTACTAAATAATGCTAAATACCTTTACTAAAAAATTATTATTATTACTTTTTGATGAACACAAAAATCACAATTTGCTCATAAGGAGATCAAATTTCTTTTATTTTGAACATAAAAACCACAATTTTCATTCCATTTTTTTTTCTTTTTTTTTTTTTTCCCCTACCCAGCAAGGGATTTTTCTCCTTGCAGAAAACAAAAAAGTTAAAAAAAGATAAAATTTTTGGATATATACAAACATTTACAGGGTAATTTCTGTACATTTTGCACTCTGTACAAGCAAGGCACCAGCAGAAGGGGGGGAGTTTGAGATTTAATTTCTGATTTTTTTTGGCAGGAAATCATTGAAAAAAACCCCTTTTTTTAAAAAATTTTTGTCCTCCCTGGGTGATGGGGGAAGAGGGGGGATCCTTTTCACTGCATGGAGGAGAAATTGGGATTTTTGGGAGATTGGATCAAAGCTCAGCAGCTTTTTCTGGTGGAAATTGAAACCCATATTTTGGGTTAAAAAAAACCCAAATGGGATTTCCAAAGAAACCAAAGAAAACCTTTTTTTTTTTTGGCTTTTTTTAACCCAAAAAAGTTTTTTTTTCTTTATTTTACCTAAGAAAATGCTGAAGGGAAATGAAAGCAAAACCCTGAAGAACCAGCCAATAATGACAACAGTGGGGTGAAATAAAGAAATAAAGGGGTGAAATATAGGCAAAAATGGGGTGAAATAAAGGGAATGAAGGGAGGGAATAAATAGGGGAAATACAGACAAAAATGGGGTGAAATAAAGGGAATAAAGAGAGGGAATAAAGGGAATAAAGGGAGGGAATAAAGGGAATAAAGGGAGGGAATAAAGGAATAAAGGAGTGAAATAAAGGGGTGAAATAAAGGCAAAAAAGGGGTGAAATAAAGAGAGGGAATAAAGGGAATTAAGGGAGGGAATAAAGGAAATAAAGGGGTGAAATAAATGGAGGCAATAAAGGAAATAAAGGGAGGAAATAAAGAGGTGAAATACAGACAAAAATGGGGTGAAATAATGGGAACAAAGGGAGGAAATAAAGGGAATAAAGACAGGAAATAAAGGGAAGAAATAAATGAAATAAAGGGAGGAAATAAAGGCAATAAAGGGGTAAAATAAAGGAAATAAAGGCTGGGTCATCCAATCCCAAGCCCTGGGTCCCACAGCTCCAGCCCTTGAGTCCTCCAAATCCAAATTAAAATCCAGTCCCTGGGTTCTCCAAATCCAGATCCAAATCCAATCCCTGTGTCCTCCAAATCCAAATCCAACCCTTTGGTCCTCCAAATCCAACCCCAAATCCACTCCCTGTGTCCTCCAAATCCAGATCCAGTCCCTGTGTCCTCCAAATCCAGATCCAGTCCCTGTGTCCTCCAAATCCAGATCCAGTCCCTGGGTTCTCCAAATCCAAACCCAAATCCAGTCCCTGGGTTCTCCAAATCCAAACCCAAATCCAGTCCCTGGGTTCTCCAAATCCAAACCCAAATCCAGTCCCTGGGTCCTCCAAATCCAAGCCCCCCGAGCCCCGTGTCCCTCAGCCCTTCAGAAATTAAATCCCCCCCAGCGGGAGCCGAATTCCCCCAGGGAATTCCCAGCGGGATTTCCTGGAGCAGCGAGCAGAGGGAGACCAGGGTGGGAGCGGAGTTCACCATGGAGAGGTCCCCCCTCAGCTGGGCTGCCTCTCCTGAGCCCTGGCCGGAATTCCCAGGGGAATTCCCAGGGTGATTCCGGGTCCCCCCTCAGCTGGGCTGCCTCCCCTGAGCCCTGGCTGGAATCCCACAGGAATTCCCAGGGGGATTTCAGGTCCCCCCTCAGCCGGGCTGCCTCCCCTGAGCCCTGGCTGGAATCCCACAGGAATTCCCAGGGGGATTTCAGGTCCCCCCTCAGCCGGGCTGCCTCCCCTGAGCCCTGGCTGGAATCCCACAGGAATTCCCAGGGGGATTTCAGGTCCCCCCTCAGCCGGGCTGGCTCTCCTGCGCCCTGGCCGGAATCCCAAGGGAATTCCCAGGGGGATTCCGGGTCCCCCCCTCACTTCTTCCTGCGGATTTTGGGTTTCTTCACGGGCCGCAGGTAGGGGTTGTCGATGACGTTCTCCTCGCCGTTCCTGCTGCCTGCCAGGGAGCTGCTCTGCTGCAGCACTGAGGTGTTCTCCTTCTCGGCTCCCGCGTCCTCCTGGCACGGAAAAAACAATAAAAAACCACAAAGTATTAAATTGTTTTTCCTGAGCCAGTTCTTGTAAGCTCTCAAAAGACACTTAGTGCACCCAAGGATAGCTCAGCTGTTCTTTGGGGGCATAAAATGAGCAGGATGGCTTCTGCTGTGGTGTTAGAAACAAAAAAGGTTTAATAAAAGGCAAAATAACAAATAGAAAAACTCGAGCCAGGTGCAGAGGTCTGCTCCTGGTGGAAACACTGCACAAAAGCCTACTCGAGCCAGGTGCAGAGGTCTGCCCCTGGTGGAAACACTGCACAAAAGCCCCTCTTCTCTTTGGTTCTGTTCTTTTCCACCTGATTGATCAGGCAGGACTTTTTGGCTTCTATCCACTGAGATGTTCTCTGGTGTTTGGGGAAGTCCCTGAGGCCCTGTGTGGTGGCTTTTCACCTAAGAATTGAGAGAAACTTCTGGGCTTCTTTCCTTTTTTGGGGGACAAAGGTTAGTTTTGCCACTCTGTAATTAGGGGGCACATTCCTACAACAGAGCCAGGCTTAGAAATGCTTCTGCTCACAGGGTGCCTGGCTGCTCCCTCCCTGGGAGAGTCCAAAGCCAGGCTGGAGCAATCCTGGGATAGGGGAAGGGGTCCCTGCACATGGGACAAGGTTTTTGTGGTGCCTCACATCCCAAAGCATGCAGGATTCCAAGGTCCAAGCCCAGAACCCGCGGGCAGGAGGGACAATCAACGAGCGAGCACACGAGGCCAGGCCTCCTGGTTTGTGAGGCAGGAAAATCCCTTGGGAAACTGAAAATTCGGGATGTCCTGGAAGCTCCTGCTCCAGCCTCGTCCTGCACTGAACTCTGCAGGGAGCTGAAGAGCCAGGACAAAGCTCAGTGCCATTTCCCAGGAGACACAGCCAGAATTCCAAGCTGAAGAACCAGGACAATGTTTAGGTCCATTTCCCATTTCCCAGGAAACAGAGCCAGGTGCTCAATTCCATTTCTCATTTCCCAGGAAACAAAGACAGAATTCCAAGCTCAAGAACCCTGACACTGTTCAATTCCATTTCCCACTTCCCATTTCCCAGGAGGCACACCCAGAATTCCACTCTGGAGAACCCTGACAACATTCAGTTCCATTTCCCAGGGAACAGAGCCAGGTTTTCCAAACTGGAGAACCCTGAGAATGTTCAGTTCCATTTCCCAGGAAACAGAGCCAGAATTCCAAGCTCAAGAACCCTGACACTGTTCAATTCCATTTCCCATTTCCAGGAGGCACAGCCAAAATTCCAAACTGAGGAACCCTCACACTGTTCAGTTCCATTATTCCCTGTTTCCCAAGACACAGAGCCAGGTTTTCCAACCTGGGGAACCCTGACACTGCTCAGTTCCATTTCCCATTTCCCAGGAGACACAGCCAGAATTCCAAGCTCAAGAACCCTGACACTGCTCAATTCCATTCTTCCCCATTTCCCAGGAAGCAGAGCCAGGTTTTCCAAACTGGAGAGCCCTGACACTGTTCAGTTCCCATTTCCCATTTT